GCATGCAGCACGAATGTAATAGAAAGCTTATGGGAAAAAAAGAGAAAAAAATATCCTGCCCACCAGATTGCTAGAAAACAAAATTCCTAATGACCAGAAATCACCCCCCCCCTCCCCTCAAGAGTTAAATGGTCGGCCCCTAAGTTATTTAAAATTGTTTATATAATAATAAGTCCAGGTGCTCCCTTGGGTCTAGCTGCACAGATGAACTAATTTGTATTCAACTTTGGGCTTGTGACCTCGCATAATTAACTGTCTAACGGCGCGCAAGACCATAAGCTTATCAAGCGCTGAGACTTCAATAATTAGTCGTTTCCTCGAGATGGAACGGAGAAAACGCTTTTGTAATAGTGAGTCAAAATTGAAATAGAGAGTTTTCAGCTCCACTTTGTGTATGTGTGTGTATGTTTTGTTTATATATCCGATTTTTAGCGCTAAATAATAAGACATGTGTTGCTAGGCCATCGCACCTCTTATTCCTACTTTTTTTTAAATATAGACGTTCCACTTATTAGTTACTAGAATGGAGTTTATTCAAGAACCAAAAGAGTTAGGGTTTACCTTAGAACCATCTGTTGTTTTTTATAGAATTTTTATACCCTGTGCAATACTTTCTGCAGAGTCAAGTAAACAAAGATTGACATTTTTGCTTGATAGGCATTTTTTCGCTTCGCTGAGCATCGACCTCGTTTTCATATTTTGCTCGAAAAATCAGTACGATTTCATATTCGCTTGACCTGCTGTTCCCTTCTTTTGAAGTAAAGATTTTTCAGTTAACCTCTGTGTCTTGGTTTGTTTATAACCGATTTTTAGTGAAAATAATTTAATGATTAAAGATTTTTCATTTAGTATAATCTGCAAAGATAACACGTTCAAAATTTGCCCGCTTTATTTTGAACACATAACAGTTTCTACAATATCCAATCAGAAGACTATAGCAAACAATATCTAATCAGAAGACTATAGCAAATAGCTAATTATATAAAAATCACTTTTCTGTTTATACATTATGATCTCAACATTTTTTATGACGTCAACTCTAGGAAATTCTGACGTCACTTGCTCCTTGCCAGATACAAATAAACTATGACATCATCCTATCTTACTGGAATGCATGACGTCATCGGCATTAATTTAAACTATGGCATCATCCTATCTTAATGAGATGCATAACGTCATCGACATTAATTTAGACTATGGCATCATCCAATCTTAATGAGATGCATGACGTCATCTGCGTTAATTTATACCACTCAAAACGTTAATTAAATCCACAAAAAACCGGAGTAAAACATCCCTCCTCTACTACTCCCGAGCCAAAATTCTCTCCAATATAGGCAAATTATATATCAAAAGAAAGGAAATTTCCCGTAGTTTTCAATTCAGACATGCGCAAACGAGATTTTGCTATACATTCCGCGCGTGGTCGTTTGACGAGCCAAAGTGCTCTCTAAAAAGGATCGAACAATAAAATATAAGACGAAAAACCCGAAGGAAAAAAAACTAAATTCCTTTAAAAGCACGTTTGGCCTTAAGCTAAGATATTGAATTTTTATATTCTGGAGGTGCATTTGGGATTTCTTTAATAGTGTGAGAGTAAAACTGAAAAAGGTTCCAAAATTAAAGTCCATTCGAGGCAGCCATTCTTTGGTGCGTGGTCGTGAAATTCATTATAAGAGTATATGTCCGGCACACTTTGATATTATCAATTTCGCAACAAAAAAAAGTCTAAATTTTGGATTAAAACAGTAGATTCCTGGTAAGGTTACACTGAAGCATTCAAAATAGCTCATGCACTGTAAACGTGCCCATGTTTTTACTGGCAGACTCGCACCTTTGCCAAAATGACTTCTCCTTTTTGGAATCCATAAATGTTGATCAGTTTATAGCGCACATTTAGCCGTTTAAATACACAACACGCAAGGGGCCGTTTGTGTGAACTGCAAAATTATGGTTATTCATAGGGGCAAATGTTGAATAAGTTATCAACCTTCTCGGTCTCTTCGGGGGAAGAAAGAAAAGTATAACCGACGGTAAAGTTTACTTCATCTAGTTTAAACATGCAACGGGTCCGATTTTGCAAAGCCAAGGAAATAACTTATTCTACAAGGTCCGGGGAGGGGGAGGGGGAGGGGGAGGGGCCAGGGGGGCTTTGTCCCCTCCACTTTTTGGCTCTTTTTTCCGTGCTATTTATTCAGCGCTTTTTGTGCTGTAACCTGTCGGCGATTTCATGGGTATTTTTTTGCCTGAGAGTTTTCATCATTCATCACATACATCAAATGGAATGGAACCCTCTTCGTCAGTACTGCAAGATGCCATGATGTGATTGAGAAACTCTGGTTTCCCCCTCTCCCCGCGCACTTAGAAAACTGCGGCGCGGGCACTCAGAAAAGACAAAAATCACTAATTTGCCATTCTTAGACAGGAAGATTGAGCCATAAACAAAAGCTGTGAACTGGAAGTATCCAAAGAGTTTCGTGAATGACAATCAGCCCTTATAAAACATTAAATCTTATGAGCTGTTAGCTTCTCAAATGGCTGCGGTTGAAGGGGTGGAGAGTTCAGTGATGTAGACGTATGGTACGAATTCTTTTGGAAGACCATGCATTACTCTAATCAAACTTTATTTTTAATTTCCTCTTTTTGTTTTGAAATTAGTTAAGTTTAATTCTTTTAGTTTTTAAAACTAATTAAAAATACATAAAGGAACGCTTCGCTTTTAGCCTTGGCTAAATCTACATATTATAATATATTAGACACAAATAAAATACAAGGTGAGCACGACAAAGAAACATATCTTCACACCAAGAGAACTCTCTTGCTTCACACGGACTAGAAAAGCATTGATATGGTTACATGACATGGCGCCTTTAGTAGAAAAATCATTTAAAAAAGGAAGTAATAAAATAACGTAAAGTGAAACTGATTGACATTTCATCAATTGTGTTTTTGTAATGGATAGAAAATTACATGGCCGCTTGGAGATAAGGAGTTTCTCTTCTCTACGATTACGTGAAAACATTTCACTCGTTCTCTGCACTCAGCCATTATAAAAAAAAATGATAATAATAATAACACGCAAGGAGAAATTTCGTATCCCCAAGCGGGCATGTGATATCTTCTTTTTAAAATAAGCCTGTTGAGGCGGGGAACTGGCAAAAGGCTTAAAGGCATTCTACGATTACGAATCAAAATAATACAATAATATTCACTGCTGCTTTAGCCTGGGGTGAATTTCAGTCATACTTAGTGTCATGGTTATCAGTGTTAGTCGAGTGGAGTCCAGGGCCATCTTTACATTACCGAACGAACTGAACGGCAAATTTGTTTCAACCATTAATCGTAACTACAAGAGAAAAATTTTTCAAAATCAAAAGTCAACGATATAGAGGAAAGTTAACGTTTCGATGATCTTATATCATCATTATCAAAGGGTACGAAATTACCACGGTGAATCTTGTTTCGAAAGCTACTCTTATCAAAACAACACTCACTCTAAATAGAAATTTATATAAAACAAAAAAAAAAAATAAAAGTTAAGCATAAAAATCAATGGCAATGTTTCCTGAATAAAAATGTTTTAAGTTCTGTTTTAAATGTAGCAACGTTGTCTGCATTTTTGGCATATTCTTGGATGGTGTTCGATAACTGAGGTGCTGCAGTGGAAAACGCGCGTCCTGCATAATAGCGAACGGGAAGACGATTGTAGTGCTCTTGATGGACGAAATTCCTCAATCAGAGGTTCCACATATCCAGCAGATTGTCCATTTAAGATTTTATATGTGATAAGAAGAATCTTAGAGTTAATCCTTGCTTCCACAGGTAGCCAGCGCAGTCTCCTTAATATAGGTGCTATGTGGTCATAACTGCGGGCTCCTGTTATCATTTGAGCTGCCGTATTCTGAATTCTTTGTAACTTATCTCTCTGGTATTTTGGGATGTCGTATAAGAGACTATTGCAATAGTCGAGTCTGGAAATCACGAGGAAGTTCACTAACATTTTCAATCCATCGGAAGGAAGGAACTTTCGAATACGACCAATTGATCTTATGGTATGACTGGCTTTTTTGCACATTTCGTTGATATGTTCAGTGAAAGACAAGGTTTTATCAATGATGACACCCAAATTCTTGGCTTTTGTTTTCTGATATTGATTTGAATTTCTGTAGTGTTTAATATCGAACAGCAGTGTTGTAAAAACCTTTCTGCTTTCAGCTGAAAATTGGGATATTTTTTACGCTAACAAACCCTTAAAACATGATCATGGCATACTGCGATCGCCTTCATTAGGGAGCTTAAGCAGCGACGTTTTTGAGCGACGCACGTCAACCGGAAGTGAGGTATTTTCCCTCTTAACATGCCTTGATGATATAAAATTTGTATTCCTTAGCTTCTTTACTGTTATAGAGGCGATTTGACTGAAAATTTGCGCGAAACCACCGTCAAAAAATGAAAAAATGCCACTTCCGGTTGACGTGCGTCGCTCAAAAACGTTGTTGCTTAAGCTCCCTATTATTAAGTAAAAACGTAATCCCATTTCCAATGTGAAGAACATCTATTAACGGAAATTAACAAAAAAGCGTCAACTCACCCTTAAAAGCTCGCACCCGAGTTTTAGCGTAACTTTTATCACAAAATAAAACATGATGAAAGATGTTAACTTTTACAAGGAGTGGGGATTGCAGAAAGAGATAGTATACCACTAGTGCAAATTATTTACGCTGTTATATGACTCTATTCTTCTGATTATAAATTCGCTTTATTATGCCAATTGAAGATCGACTTAAAATCCGTCACTGGGGAAATCTGTGGAACCTCAGAAAAAAGCCCAATTATTATTCTTGCCTACTAAGAACAATTTTAAAGCTGCTTGATGGTAATAACATGCTTTAAGGCTCTCACAATTAATCAAACATGCTACGGCCCCTTTACACCTCATAATGATAGAGTCTTGCTTTTTTTTTTAATTTCACCGCCAATAGTATTATTAAGTACGCTCAAAAAGTGCGAACAATACTGAACAAGTTAGACCAAAAAAGTAGCATTTGGGTTTTATTTTGCTGACAACTGTCAAGAAATTAGAGTGACATTTATAACCATTCACATCCCCACAATTTGTTGCAGTATACACGTAAGTAATTTCTCTGTAGACAGGTTTTCCAAGCAAAAACAATTTCCCAATGCAGTATTGCCCATACTTGGATGCTTTTTTAATATATTTTCAGGTACAGCCTCGTCTTTCATTTGTTAAATTTTTGCTTCTGAAAAGAGAGTTAACGCCCGTCTTTTTGTTTCTGTTTTCAACATTTTCCGACCAGAGTAGTGGGTGAGTATTGCTTAAAAGCCTGAGATAGTGCCCTAATCAGATTGCGTCAAACACCAAAAACACCGAGTGTTTAAATACTGAAATGAAAACGTTTCTTAATATGGCATTGTTTATAACGTCAAAAAGTCAAACGCACCTTGAAACATCATGTGGTTTTATTATAAATTGAACTTCAAAGAAAATTGGTAGAAAGATGTTAGCTGTTTCAAGAAAGGACTGGATCAGAGATATACATCTTGGGGGGGGGGTAGTAGAGTGTTACCTAACTTTTTTCCACCCTTTTCATTATGAATTCGTTGTATTCCAACGACTAGAGATCTGAAGATCAACGCAAAATCTGTACTGTTATAATCTGTGGAATCTCAGAAAGAACGCAATTCATTAAGAAGACCCGACGTAGGAAGAAGAATTCTAATGCTGCTTGATGGTGATAACATGATAACATGCTTTAGGGCTCTCACAATTAATTAATCGCACATGTCTTTTGCGTGTCACCCCTTTGAAGTGTTTTGCTTTTCAATTTCAGGAATTGTTGACATAAGACAAATAAGCTTTATTTTAAATGCCTATTTATGAATCCATCAGTACAGTCCAAGCATAAAAACATTTAAATTATTAGTTAAACAAAATATCGCACATGGCTTTTGCACGTACCCCCGTTATAAGGCAGTGATTTGCTTTGAATTCAATTTCACCCTCAAGTTTTTTTACGTTGCTGTGAGACAACTGCTCCTCTTAAAAAACCCAAGGTAAAAACCTAAATTCTTCACTATGTATCTGTTAAGAAATACTTAACAAGTTACACTTTAGACTGCTCAAGTCAGTAAAAAGACCCTCATTGAAATTTATAAGCATATTCGATAGTTACTGTGTTTTGCACTTAGCTGAACTTATACATTGAAAGTTTAATTGATAAGCATGAAGATTGGTGATATGAATTTGAATTACACTGCACTTTACGAATGGCGTAAAACTGCTCTACCATATAAATTTTACCGAAGTTTAACCGATCTGTAAGTAAATGTTTATGGAGATGTTGATGAAGGTAATGATAGAGTTCTTCGCTCGAAAAAGCGGCATGTTTAAAAAGATCATAAATTATTACATTTGTTATTCACTGCAAAGGTTATCTTGGTATCTTATTTTTCATGAACAGAACATCATTTGCTAACTTTACGGTAAAAACCTAAGTCAAATGAGCGCTGATAAGTACGATTTCCATTACAAATTTTACCATTCTCAAATTAAAACTGATAAAACTGCCTGTGGCCAAGAGATCATTGCCTAATACATAGTATGTATTAGCCAAAGGATTGTTTTACGTCCCGTGGGTGTAACCCTTTTCTTTCTAGCTATCTGATTATAAAATTCACTGTATTCCGCCAATTGTCGATCGACGCTCAATCCGTTTCCGTGGGAATCTTTTGAACCTTAGATAGAATGTATTTCGCCAAGAATATCTTTGACATAAGGAAAGGCGAGTAGCTACAACTCCTGCATCACACCGTACTTGGTATTTTATCAGGTAACACTAAAGAACCAACAATCTCGTTCAAGAGTTACTTAGATCCTAAAAGGTAAGGATAAAAAGGTATGCATGTCTTAAATATATAATATATAGATTTAGCCAGGGCTAAAAGCGAAGCTCTCGATAATGTTTATAGTTTGTTCAAGCGAAACATAAAATTATATAATGCTAAGCGGCGAAGGCAACGCCGGAGAACGGTGAAAAACAACAATAGGTCTAATTAGAAAAAAGCAACTTTTCACATGCAGCCCACTTTTTTTGTACATTTCTTTACCGTTGTTTTGCACGACTACAACGTGAAACTTCCAGAAACTTCTCAGTTACACGTTTTTTTCGTTCACTTTTTTTTTTCACTGTCCCTCATTTTCACCTTGCATTGGTGGCCGCTAGCATTTCTCATTTTGTCACCACCGTTACAAAATTTTCATGTTGTTCTTTCAACAAAAAAAGGTCTCCTTTGTTTTTTTATCTCTCGCTCTAAATCTCTGTCGCCCTTTTTCTCGTTGAGCTTCGCGGGCCTGCCGCCTACTTTCTTTTTTTCCCTGTGTTTCTCTTGCTCTATATTCCAAATTTGTGGACATGCCAATTAATCTAGGATTAATACTTTAGAAAACACGGATACAGAGACAATGTCCGCTCTCCATTTTCCTTTTCATTGCCTCTTTAGTTGTTTCTGTGCTACAAGACGCGGGTGGCTATGCGATTTCCCGTCAAAATAACCTCGAGTTGCATTTGGGTTGCCATACCTGGTGATTGAGTTATTGTACATTGGTATGCCTGTGGTGCGGACGGACGGTCTCTCGGGTGGTGTACGGTTTCTTACCCATGGTGCTCCGCTGCGCGCTTAGCGCCCGAGAGCTCCGCTATAAGTACAATTAACAAAAATAATAGTAATTATTATAATGATTAATGTCAAATCCGTGAGCCTCAAAATGTTTTCATTGTATCGGCCATCAACAATCCTCTACTGGGAATATGTTACAACCTTTCTGATGCGTAACCTAACACGTCTATTTTTTTACATCAATGATGATAGCAAGGCTCGAATGAAATATTTGTATACTTATTACACATTGTGTTGCCTTTTTATGAATATATCAGTCCAAGCGTAAAACCTTTGAAATTCTCAGTTAAATAAAATACCACACATGGCTTTTGCATATAGACCCTTTTTAAGGCGGTGATTTGCTTTGAATTCAATTTCACCCTTAAGATTTTTTTTATCGGAGCACCATAGCTAAGGTAATCTACCCATCCCAGAAAATTTGGTAATCACGTGACCGACCGACCGACCGTCCGTCCGCACCACAGACATACCAATGTTTACTCTCACACTTTCTAGCTACTTTGGGAGCCCAGGAGGAAGCTGATTGCACATCAATGTTGCCATCAATTGACAGCTGTCAAAACAGGGTATCCGCTGACTAGTATCACCTGACCGTATCGCGGTCAAATATGTTGTGTTTATGTCAGTATCGCCCCGCACTATTACGATTTTGATTTCAAACTGACCTCAGACGCAAAAATTCAGCCATTTTTTTTTTAAATACATGCGAGGAAGACCTTTTCTTACCATGGTCACGTGTTGGTCACGCTCCACGTCCAATTTTTATGCTCTGGTTGGTTAAAATTTGACGGGTGAGTTCATGCGTAAGATTTATGCAGCATCTTGAAAGTTGTTTACTTTGACAGCTGAAGCTGACAGAGTTTTGAGTCAACTTGTGATGTTTTTAACTGTCTTTTTCCACTGGATGTACAAAATGAAATACAGCTGCTATCAAGAGTGTTCTCTTATTCATGACTGGTTTGTTTATTGGGTTTTTGGTTGAGAAATGCGTCGCTTGTCAAAGCCGATAATCCGATTTCCGATGGCATCGTTTTTGTTTTTCACCTTGCTGGATGCGTGCGAGAGTTATAAAGGCTCAAGCGATCCTTGCCTTACTTGATAGCTTTCAGGGGCTGCATCTCGAAATATGGTAAACCTGAGTAATTATTGTATTTATATCTAATTTCATGAAGTCCAGCGGCGCAGTTTATGAAGCTAGTTTATGCACGTTTGTATTAAGATTTGACTGAGACATTTATCTGACCTAGTATGAGGTTTGATATAAGCTTAAGCTTACAGAACTTTAAAAAGCCTTTAGTCGATATTAATTCACCGTAAATAGAAAGGAAAGACTTTCCGAAGAATATTTAATTATAATTTTGGCTGTAGAAAGAAAGCTTTGAGCGATTTTCTTGCCCTGAGTTCATCTTTGAAAACAGCAAACAGGCCCGGGAAACCGGCGGCTTAAAACATAAACTTAATCTTTAAGCTTACTAGTAAAGACTTGAGAATTCTTAGAGACACTTAAGGTGGCTCCGTAATTAATACAAGAGCATTTAGCTGTGACAAATTTTCCGTCATAACTTTTTCGATTTTAACGCGATGGCTGCGAAACTTTGCAAAGAACAACATATATCATTCGGCAATAATACGAAATATTCCGATTTCATTGATGGTAAATATTTCTTGAGAAATTAGCGCTTAAAAGGACCCTAATGTTCAAAGAAAATTACGTCTAGTAAAAAATTTTGCTGATACTTTTTACTGAAATTTCTGGTATCGGCTTTAATTGATATAATAAATATGCCAGAGGAATTTCAGAAAAATCGTTGGAGCAGAAGTCCGTAACTAAAAGTCGCTCAAAATTCAGCTGCGAAATTGTTTTGGAATTTCAAAAATAAATTACTATCAGGAAGAAGGAGACACCAGTTTGAATTTTCGGGACAAGTAAATTCAATGTTTGCTAATTCTGAAAACAAAAGCCGATTGCCTATCGTGCTATTCTTTAAAAGGTACTTTTCAGTTTTAGAAGCACTATAAATTGCTCCAAACCTTGCTCTGAAGTAGAATGACTTGTTCCTCGACATTTTTAAAATATCCCTTGGCAGTTTTGGTTCAAACTCCTGCTACATACATTTTGATGTATTGCAATGCATCCTCAACGGCTTTTCTTGCTGTACGTTGTTTCCAATTCAGGAAAAAGGTATTGGGATTGTAAGCTACCTTGTATCGAAGCTCAGATAGAACTGTCCAGCACCTTTGTTTATGACCAGAAAATGAGCACGTGCGGCAGCTCTGCGAGGAATTCGCACCTCAGCCAGGGGGGACGAATGATAATGATACCCATGTCTGTGAACCGATCTGTATAAACATGTATTGCAGAGCAAAACATAATAATCAAGAAAAAATACCCATTCATTGAAGGAAGGAGTGACAAAAATTTCAGAGTTGTAAATTTATTCACGGGCAGTATTTTTGCAATAATTTTATTTTGCACTGTGATGTTATTCGGTTCACAGGCATGGTCATCATTGTCGTTCGTCCCCCCTGGGTGAGGTGCGAATTCCTCGCAGAACTGCCGCTCGTGCTCATTTTGTAGTCATAAACAAAGGTGCTGGACAGTTCTATCTGAGCTCTGATACGAGGTAGCGTCCAATCTCAATACTTTTTCCCTGAGGTGGAAGTAACGAACAGCAGCAAAAGTCGTTGAAAATGAATTGCAATACATCAAAATGTATGCAGCAGGAGTTTGAGCCAAAACTGCAAAGAGATATTTTAAAAATGTCGAAGAACAAGTCATTCTACTTCAGAGCAAGGTTTGGAGCAATTTATGGTGCTTCTAAAACTAAAAAGTACCTTTTAAAGAATAGCACGATAGGCAATCGGCTTTTGTTTTCAGAATTAGCAAACGTTGAATTTACTTGTCCCGAAAATTCAAACTGGTGGCTCCTTCTACCTGATAGTAATTTATTTTTGAAATTCCAAAACAATTTCACAGCTGAATTTTGAGCGACTTTTAGTTACGGACTTCTGCTCCAACGATTTTTCTGAAATTCCTCTGGCATATTTATTATATCAATTAAAGCCGATACCAGAAATTTCAGTAAAAAGTATCAGCAAAATTTTTTACTAGACGTAATTTTCTTTGAACATTAGGGTCCTTTTAAGCGCTAATTTCTCAAGAAATATTTACCATCAATGAAATCGGAATATTTCGTATTATTGCCGAATGATATATGTTGTTCTTTGCAAAGTTTCGCAGTCATCGCGTTAAGAACCCAAAAGTTATGACGGAAAATTTGTCACAGCAAAATGCTCTTGTATTAATTACGGAGCCACCTTAAATACTCATTTGTTTTCGTGAATGAAAATTGTTGTGTCTGTAAATGTTCTACCGAATTATATTTCTTTATTGATTGTTTAAATTGGTAGTCTCAAAAGTGTAATTTTCATGGTTTTGCCGTTTGTTTTCAGCCGTTCATAAACATCGCTTGCAGGAGCGACTCAAAATGCCGAGCGTATCAAACGCTTTTTTTTTAAGGTTACACATTGTTATAAAACCATGAAAAACAAAATAGACTCAATAAATTATTTATCACGTTGAAGCGTAACTCTTTTAAAATTTCTTCGCAAATTTAGTGCTTGTCAAAAGTTAGAACCGGCTGGCCGTATAGGTGATTTTGGAAATTTTTTGAACGGTTTCGCTAATTAAAAGTCCACGCGTGCTTCGATGGTCCTGGATATTAAGTGAATGCAATTTGTCTTCTCAAACTCATTAAAAATTCATAAAGAAAATACAAAGAAAATTAATGTTTAATGAGTGTTTGGAAATCGGATGAAAAACTGCTCAGTATTTGCATCCTTAATTTCTCCTTCAAAAATGATTTTGTTTGAGAAGAAATATCAAACATTCGACACAGTGTTTCATCACCAGATGAAACACCTCGAAGTTCGTCAAAAATACTCCGCTGCGCGTCGTATTTTCAACTCTCTTCTCGGTGTTTCATCTGGTGATGAAACACTGCATCTCATGTTTGATATATTACTTGAAAAATTGTGAAATACTGCATTTTGTACGAGGTCTGTATGATAAAAACAGCGCCTCATAGTACTCTTTCTCCTCAGATGTGGTTTATTTTTAAAAAAATAAAACATTGGTTTGCACGCACCCAGATTTATTGGCAAGAATTTGTAAACTTGTCGATCGCAAAAAATTCGGCCTGATTTGTTTTCCACGCCTTATCTACTGTGATCAAGAACCATTATTGCTCTTAAATTTGACCGTACACCTTTTTGGGTGTACATATAAGGCTATATCAACTCGATACAAGATTTGTTTCACTCCAAAATAACTTAACTTTTCAATGGGAGCTTCGCTTTTAGCCGTGGCTAAATCTATGTATTACATTGCTGTGAGACAACTGCTCCTCTCAAAAAGTAAAGGTAAAAACCTTAATTCCTTACTAAGTATATGAATTACTAAGTATATGAATTACACTGCACTTTCCAAATGGTATAAAATTGCTCTACCTTGAAAATTTTCCAAATTTTAGCCGAACTATAAGCAAATATTTATGGAGATGTTCATGAATGTAATGATAGCGTTTTTCGCTCAAAAAAGCGGGAAGTTTAAAAAGAACATTTATTATCACGTTGTTCTTCGCTAGAAAAGTTGTCTTGGTATCTTAATTTCCATAGAACAACATTTGTTAACTTCACCATTAAAATCTAAGTCAAATGCATCCTGTAAGTACGATTGTTATTACAAATTTTACCATTGAATGAAACCTGATTTAAAACTGTCTGTAGCCAAGAGATGATTGCCAAAGAAATAGTAACAATCCAGTATTTTTCTATCTATGTCATTTTAGTATAATTACATTGATGATTATCGGAAATAGAGCGCTATGATTGGTTAGGAGCTTCGCTTCATTTCGCTATAATCACCGCGCGGTGATTATAACATTGAAGGCTAGCAGTCTTTAAAATGGCAGCCAGATTTGTTGATGTTTCGGAGTCGGAAATTGATCAATAATTTTATTTTCTCGAATAATCATCAATGTTATAGACCTTTTTACCGATACGGCGGCCATATTGAATTAATTCGATTTAAGGAGTATGATAGGATGCCCAGGGGGCATGAGCACATTTCGTTTGTGTTTTCGAGCGCTTTTCGCGACATTTTCTTCTTAAACCTTTCTTAGAATAAGATTGTAATGGGAAAAAAGATCCTTGTGTCGTGTTTGGATGTAAAAATGATCGCCTTTTTCTAGTTTAGTATTAGAAATATGGTCTTTCACTGTATATTTCTCGGGAAAAAGGCGATCATTATTACATCTAAACAGGGCACAAGGATCTTTTTTCCCATTACAATCTTATTCTAAGAAAACTTTCAGAAAAAATGTCGCGAAAAGCGCTCGAAAATACAAACGAAATGTGCTCATGCCGCTTGGGCCTATAATACTTCTTAAATCGAATTAATTCAATATGGCCGCCGTATCGGCAAAAAGGTCTATTATACTAAACTCAGGTGACTTGAATATCGGCGAATAGTCACCGAGACGAAGTCGAGATGACTATTCGCCGATATTCGCGTCGCATTCGGCGATTAATTGTTAAATACAATTCACTGTATTCCACCAATTGTCGATCGACGTTCAATCCGTTTCTGTGGGAATCTGTTGAACCTTATATAGAATGCGTTTCATCAAGAATATCTGTTACGTAAGGAAAGGCGAGTAGCTACAACTCCCGCATCACACAGATTCTAAGTATTTCCTTACCTCAATTTTCGTGTTTATTTTGCTTGTTATCCTCCAGAATCCTTCAGAATAGTGTGCTTGACTTGTGTTTGGTTGACATTCCTCGATACAAGTTCCCATTCTTCGCAAAACCGGCTCACAAAAATTCCCCTCGACTCGCCATAAAATTCAAAATTTTCGAATGCTTGGTTTGTCACGGTCAAAAGTCCACAGGGGCTGGAACTAGGCAGGTGATTGGCTAAATCTATAAACGTCCTGTGTGCCAAATTTGGGAGCAATCGGAAGTAAAACAATTTTTTTGCGAAATTTCTTTGGTCACCGTTCTTCAAGCTCCGATTTCGGCGAACCCTGACGACAACGAGATTTATACAATTCTCTTTGAAAACTGTCAATCACCATAGAGAGGGAATAAATACCTCTTTTAAACCTTTCTTGTCAGCACTTATCAAGGTGGTCCAGTGGATAGAGGCGTGCACTTATAGTACTAACGTGTTCGGAGGGTCCGGGTCCGAATCCCCTTGAAGCAAATTACTCGTGACGTTATTTTTTTTTCTTTTTCACTGTCTTTTTTACCTGTGTGGTACACATAGCTAGTAACATAATGTGGTAAATTGAATGCAAAATTTACAGGAATATAAAAAATACCATATGCGTCATAGCGTATCTACCGGTATTTATAGATATACTGGACACTGTTCCCAGTTCAAACGTCGAATTTCACACGTGCCTAATTTAATTCGAGAGGTAACTGCTTTCAGATGCGACGTCTGAATCAACAGTTTCAAATTAAATACGACTTTGCCGAATCTGCGACTGAATTACAGTCGAAAATTCGACTTAGCTAGCTTCAACATTTGATCTACAGTAGAAGTCGCATTTCACATGTGCCGAATATAATTCATTAATTATAGAAACCCTTATCCATATTGGGTATCAATTTTTTCTAGAGACTTGGATTATTTAAACAAAGGGATTTAAATTCGGCACCATTATCCCCGACGTCTGAATCAACTGCCGTCTTTAATTGTTTTCTTCGACTAAAATAAGTGTTCGGCACTCATAAGGCATTCCACTTCTGAAAGGGGCCTAACATGACATAAGTTTCAGCTTAGTGGTTTACAGGCTGTTCGTTATTAAGCTAGTCGTTTTTTTTTTCTTTTCAGTAAGAGAAATTCCTATCTCTTCGTAAATCCATTTTATTAATCGGCTTGTGCCACGACTTAAGAATCAGCTGTATTAGTTGATTTTGTATGCCACTGGACATGATTTGTATATAAAAGAGAGCGATCGATTTTCATCCACTCATTTCAATAAAAGCAAATGGCATCACTTCTCACTATAACGGACAACCTTGAACCGTAAATTTGTTGTAGAAATTTGCGGCACCGAAGGAAAAAGAAAAAGCTAACCCTTTTTGATCAAATTATTTCGTGGTTTAAAGTCGAAGCTTTATATAGTGTAAAATAATTATAATTTACTTTTCCGGTATCACTTGTAGTAATAATAATAATAATAATAATAATAATAATAATAATAATAATAATAATAATGATAATAATAATAATAATAATGATAATAATAATAATAATAATAATAAGTAATGATTCTAATGTAAACTTCTATTTCTGTAATGTTGTTTCTAATTTGGATTGAAAAACAATACATCTCGAAAGACATTGATTTTAAAACAAAAACCAGCGATATAAATTAAAGAAACCTTTGCCATCAATATCAATAGGTAAGAGAATATTTTTATTGTCAATTTGTTTTAACGTGTAGGCGTATTTTTGCATTCGCGGTTGTCATCTTCTGTGCGCAAATACTGCAATAAAGACCAGGCTGTAACATTTTGAGAAAAAAACACGAGTTTTACTTGACCAACCAGTTATGTTCATTTCCCTCGGAAACTCATATTTTGCTGATTTTTTTGCTTCCTAAGCATCCGTTTATACTCAGATTAATTTTCCTGTTAAAAAAATACTTCGATTTATAAGCCGGAATTTTAAGTAAAATGAAATGTATTTAAATAATTCAAAATGGCGGATCCAAGATGGCGCCGATGCTTTCGAATCATTGTTTAGTCATAAATGAAGTCATCCTGACATCACTGCTATTGTTAAAGATCATTTATGCGTTAGCCAACTTCCTTGATTTTATCAGAGATCTTACTATTTAAGTATTTTTTACTTTATGTCTACTTTGAGGGGAATTTGGATTCTGCCAATAAATTCAACAATATGGCGACATTATGACGTCAGATTGCGTCACTATGTCGAACAACTCGTGCCCAGAAGTTGGAAGTAATTAGTACATTGTTATGTTTAATTTTGCTGGCCGTAGGATCAGCGGTTTTGAAGTTATAGAGGGCGGACTTCGTCCTCCCCCTTCCGCCCTGGCAGGAAGCAAAAAAAAAAAAAAAAAAAAAAAAGGCCCGGTCTGAATAGCGTTAAGACCACGCTTGAAAACGCAATCAAATTCAATAAGTGCTAAAGAATTTGTGTAGCTGTACTTCATTTATGGAAATTTAGAGGAATTGTTTTGAATTCATATTTATTTGTTTCCCATTCATTGATAATGAATGAGAAGAGAGATCGCCGAAACGTCTGGACGTTTTGTCGTTAATTTTTACATGTTAGTAATTCTCTGAATCATTATTAATCAAAATTTATAGTTTAATTCGTTTTATTTTTGATATTACAGACATGGTTGCTAAAAAGTTGATTGCCTTTGTTGCCTTTGTGATGCTGATTACCTTATTGGAGCAGATCAAATCAGGAGTCCATGCAGGGCGCATGACAAAACCTAAGAAGGCAGGCAGAGTGAAAGTGATCCATACAGGTCCTCGTGTTAGGAAGCTCAAGAAAAAAGTTGAAGAATTGGAGAAGCAACTCGCCTCTATGGAACCGTGTGAACGTAAGAAACATTTTACTTCACTGTATTATTCTCTTTAACCAAGTAACCTGAAAACAAATTAAACTAGCCTGTGTGTCCTTTCTTTGGGCACATAGACTGGAATAAAAGGCAATATTAGGTGACTAGGAATCAATCGGCCCACTGTAAAATAAACCTCTTTAGCTTGTGCGTTTTGTTTTCCCTTTAGAGTCCCCAAGGGAATCTGACCCTTTGTCTGTTTATAAATTATGCGTACATATGCACGTAAATAAGACGAAATTAGTAGAAAGAAACATTTCTCTAGAGTATTATCACATGACCTGTACTGGGAAAACAAAACATACCAGCTAAAGAGGTCTGTTATGGGGTCTCTCTAGAATTTAACAAACTATTCCATAATAATATCCTTTGACTTTCCTATAATAGTGATAATGGTATTAATTGGAAAAAGAGATTTATTTGGATAACTCATGTGCAGATTGCTTTAAGCAGCCTGAGAATATCTCTTTTATCAGGAAACGCAATAAATAAATAAATGCATGGAGCGGATCATTGTTATTCTAAATTTTCTTCAGTATTTGACATTTGGAGAACGCTCAGTTTTGCTTTCCCACACAGGTCTTAGTTAAGAAATGATTATGCACCGTTATTAAATATCAATCTAGTAGAACGTATAAAACTTTGCGTGAATACGATGTTGGGTTGGATTATAATTTGGCTCCACGCTTCTTCTTTTTGTGGTTTAAGAAAAGATTGATAAATAAATACTCCAGCCTTCGCCGCATTTGTTTTATATATTGCGGGGATTTATTGAATATGATTGGAAAACTAAACAAGGATGGAAAACTCAATTTTAAATGGACCTTTGTTTAATTTCCCTCAGGAAAGCAGTTTTTCTAATTGAAAAGGCGTAAAATTGTGCCTGAGTAAAACAAAGTCTGTCTAGGACTTTGCCGGCAAGAACGCCACTTTCAGTTAATTTTCAAACATGTTAAACTTTGTAAAACAAAACAAAACAAAACAAAAAAACTTTCAGGGCTTCGTTCAGGTGTTGTAAAATTTCCCTTGCTTGCCATTGTGAAGCCCCAGTCTCGCTTAATCTCACCCTTACATTGGGTACCTATAATTTTCTAAATTTGCAGTATGGTCTGTTTCTGTTTTATAGCTTGTGAGTCAGCTAAAACAGAGGGTTTCCTGTTTGACAGTAATGCAACAACTGACTACCTTAAAGTTGAAGTTGAAGGCCTGAATAAGCCATTGGTTGTATTAACTTCATGTACCTGGGTCAAATTTAAGGACTCTTCTCCTCGTTGGGAGTTTTTTTGGTGCACTCTTGGCCAGCACTTATGCTTGGGCCGAGCTTCCGACAATCTTTTGGTAAGAAGACGTGGAGTTGGCTTTAGGTAATGAAAAATCTTTGTTGTGGTCTTAACTCTGAATAATGTTAGTATTTAAAGGTCAAGTCATTTACATGTTTTTTTGTGTGTACATGTGGTTTGTTACACTTTGCCATAGTTCTCTTCGACAACTTGGTCAAATCTTGGACAGACTATGGTCATGCATACACAGATCGTAATATCCCTCCCTCTAGTACTCAAAGAATGTTACACAGGTTGCATCTCATGTTTAACTGAGGAACATTTCTACGCTGAACGTTGATATGGCACGTTCAACGATATCGACAGTTTAAGACTAATAACTACGGTCGAACCTTTTATGCATGAGGCGATCTTTCAGGTAGCCTACCAGGATCAAACCATGGGCTAGGGGGTGTCTTTGTAGAAGAAATTTAAGCTCACGTCTAAGCGATTGTCTCTGAAAATTCTTCGTAGTAGTCTAGTATGTATGGTGAACAAAGACATAGATCCATACCTTAGGTGTTTGCTTAAAACAGGTTTAAAAAATGGGAAAAATGCAACAATCACCTCTGTCAAGGAAGAGGAGGCAATCGCCCACGAGTTGTTTCAGCGATAAGCCTTTAAATTGGAAAAAATGGGTGTTTTAAGAATGTGGTAGCTTATGGTGGGAAATCTTCACTTATTTAAAAGTTGGTCGCATATGGTGACTCGCTTGTGTGTTGCACACTGACAAGTGTATTCCTACCCACTAGAACAGGATGGTATATTAGAAGGTCCTGCCAGTACATTTCTGTGGCATTTTTTGTCAATCAATCTACGGATGTAAACGGTGCGTTTCGTTTTAGGCTAAGGCGAAGAATGAGAAAAATTCGAAAGAGCTATAGATGTTGCAAAATAACTGACTCAGATAATAAACTCAGTTTATTATATCAACACCAAAGAAATATCACGTGAAACATGATATCTTCACATGTGAAAAGGTCACCGTTGCTATGGCTACATAATAAATCGCACCTTTCACAGCCAAAACTATTAATAGTCAAGCCATGCATATGGTGAAAAAATTGTGCACCCGGGGATAAGAGCACCAAATTTGGCATGATAATGGTACTTGGCCTGCTGAAAAATATTAGCTATGCACCCCAGTCATTGGGGGAATTTGTACTTGGGGGGTGGGTTTGTTGCAGTTTCCACTTAAATTACCAAAAAGAAAGCGGTAAAGTTAAGCCGATCTTGCCATATCAATAAGTTGTGTTGTCCCAAGAGAGTTAAACTGGGTCCAGGTAATCTAATTTTTAAGTAGCGTGGGGGAGGTTTGTACACAGCTTAGGGGTAAGGGGGAGTATCTCTGTACGCATGTTTGTATCAGTTTCTCTTGTGAGGGAAAATACAATGACCTTTCCTGAATTTTGACATCTTCAGATCATTTAGCTAATAGCTTCTCCTCTGTCCTCTTCCCTCATCTCTAATCATCTTTCCTCATCTTCCCTCATCTTCCCTCGTCTCTTACCTTATCTCTAATCAGTCTCGTAAGGGTTTCGATCCCCATCTATTCAAGGACTGGGAAAGCTTCTAATTGAGCTACTAAGCTGTCCTATTCCAGCTCGCAACTGGACACGACCACGCTAACCTCTCAAAGGTATTTTAGCTCATCTATTTCCAATCAGCATAATGATATTTCTGATTTTATTTCTTTATTCCCATTTGAACATCAACAGTCTAACTAAGCACATTGATGAATTGAGAATTCTCTTGTTTTGATCATTCTACCGATGTTATCTCAATTAATGAAACTAAACTTGATGAAACTATCAAAAGCTGTGAGGTCCACATACCAGGCTATGAATTTATTCGTCGTCATAGAAACAGACATGGTGGAGGAGTATGGTGGCCGAGCATTCTCACAAAAAAGATGGCCAGATTTGTGCTGCGATTTCGAAAAAGAAGAGGGAAAAAATAATTTTTTCAAAAATAAGAGAAAGTATTTTAAAAACTGAAAAAAGAAAAGAAAACTGAGCCAAGAAAATAAAAACAAAACAAAATAAACGCACTTGAAAAAAAGAAAACAAAAAAATAAACAAAAAAAATCATAAAAAAACGAGGAAAAACAAAAAAAAATTACGACAAAAAATAATAAAACAAAAAAAGGACGAAAAACAAGACAAAGATAATAATAATAATAATAATAATAATAATAATAATAAATCCGCGAGGGTTAGAAATACCAAGTTGAGATCTGGCGCGGGATAGCTTCTCTCCAGCTATGGGTAAAATAGCATCTTCGCCAATATGAGTAGTAGAAATGTAA